GTTTCAAGGAAACTTATTTTTTAACTATTACCAAGTATGTTTCTTTCTTACTAAGTCTGACTTGTTTGTTCCGGGACCACATGTGGCACGGTGCTCAGGGGCTACTCCTGGAGGTGTCTTTAAGACCAGGCAGTCCCGGGACTCAGCCCTGGACTCCTGTCTGCAGAGAAGTCAGTCCAGCCATCTAAGCCATTTCCCAATTCCTCTCAATTTGATCTGAAGCCCCATATGCCCAAATAGCCAGATTTAGATATTTAAGGGGAACAGACTACATACCTGGGTTATAAAAATATAGAGCCTGAGAGACAGTTTGAGGTTAAAGCACTGGTCTTGCATACCAGCCCCACAGGTATGGCCCCCAAACAAAAAAGTATGTATATATGATTATTACAGAAAATTAGGAAAATCACTGATAATCTTGCCACCCAAAGATAACCAAGAATTAATATAGCTATATTTGTTCTGGCACAATTATGATATTACTGTATTTAGTTTAGAAGTCTAATTTTTAATAATTCTATCCTCAGTACTTCTATAATTGGATATTCTTCCAAAGGATAATTGTAATTGATAATCCAAAATTTGAATTTTAATCCTTCTTTTTATTTTTAAAATTAATTATTGTAGATTCAGTCATATGTTTACAACAGTGCTAATATTTATGGTCTGGATGTTCAGTTATTACAACTCTACCACCACCAAAGTGCCCAAGACTCTCTACCAATGTCCTTAATGTTGCTTCTAGTCTGTCTCTTTCTGTGCCCACTCTCTTCCCCCTGCTTGGTGACCTCGGTTTTGTGATCCAAAACAGGCCTTTCTAGGGTTGGAGCGACACTAGCATTGTATGCGGCCAACCTGAGTTGGATCCCTGGTATCCCATATGGTCCCATGAGGACGCTAGGAGTGATTCCTGGGCGAAGAACCAGTAATAAATCTTGAGCATGACCGGATGTAGCTCAAAGACAAAACAACAATGACAATATAAAACAACAACAACAACAACAACAACAACAACCCAAAGTAGATTCTTCTGTTTGAGGGCCATATTGCTGACAGTAAACTGGGCAGTCACTGTAAATGTTCGTTGACTGCCTATTTCTACCCCAAATGAATTATTAAGTTAAAATGAAAGGATGGACGTGAAGTTTACCACAGTGTTAGATGCAGTGGGAATGCCCAAATGTTAATTTGTCAAATTAATATTTATTAAAGTTGCACAGCTGATTTTTCTTCAAGCTAGGGGTATTCCCCCCACCTCCCCAACCTCTGACCCCTATTAAAAACTCTAACAGGGACTCTGCAGACTTCAGAACTGCATCGCCTTCCCACAGGGATCTTTTGTGTCACTGGCCAATTTGGTGCATATAGTAGGCACTCAATAAAAATTGTTGAATGAGCAAAGGAATTTATAAATGTCCTTTTGGATATCTAGACTTATTTTCTCATTACTCAGTTTAGATGACCTGAGAAGCACTTCCTCAAAATAACCCTCTGGTTCACCATCAGAAGAATGCCTGGCACCAGCTGGTAGGAGGTATTAATAGCATGCCCATTAGGCACCTGTTCAAGGCACATAGATAGCTTAGTGATAAAATCTTTAGAAATATTTGGACAGTTAAGATTATTCAGACTCTGAATCAGTTGTGGTCCTTAAATCTTCACTCTAAACATAAAGAAGTTAACATCTGTTTTTGGAAATTCTTTAAAAAAATCCTAAGGCAATAGCGATGATTGCCTTCAATTTTAGTGGCTCTTAGCATTGCAGCTAAAGAGCAAATTTACAATGGTAAAATTATTTTCGCCCCTCCCCCCCCGCCCGGAACAAAGATTCTTTTGAAGGATTCAGATGCTAAAATGCAGAGGAGAATATTTTTCCCTTCAAATTTCAATGTTCACTGTTTTAGAGTGTTTGTCACTGGTTAAAAAATCCATACCTACAAAATCATGTTTCTATTCCTCCTAGGTAACTTATTTCCTAAAAACAGAGATACGCTGAAATTTTCTAACCATCCTAGGTAACCCCTAATGATCTTTGGAAGGATCTGGGAAATAAGAGGGGAACTACAACCGATTTTCCAAATAAGATACAAGAATACTTGCACGTTCATCAGACAGAATTAAACATCCATGCTTGTCATCCTTGCGTGTATGTGTGTGGGTGGGAGGGGGTGGATATTTAGGCCACACCTAGTCATACACAGGGGCTATTCCTGGCTCTGTGCTCAAGAGTGGTGCTTGGCAGTGCCTAGCAGGACCCTACCCAGGGTCCGATGAAAGGAAGGAATGTCTGCTACTTTCTCTCTGGCCCTTGTTATTCATTCTTCATCTAAATTTGAAGACATAAATTGAACAACAGAAAGACACAAATTGCAGGGCCAGAGCGATACTCTAGTGGTTAGGGTGCTCGCTTACACAAGTCAACATAGGTTCAGACCTCTGCAATCCTTATGGTCTCCTGAGAACCCCCAAGAGTGATCACTGAGAAGAGTCAGGAGTAAGATTGAGCACCGGTGACCCACAAAACAAACAAGCAGCGAAAGACACACATTATTTTCTTCCTTTCTGGGGGCTGGTTGGTTTTGTTTTCTAGGTATGGTAGTTCGAACCATCTGCAGTGCTGGAGATTGACCTGGGTCAGTCATATGCAAGGCAAGGGCCTTACACCCGTACTGTTCCTCTGGCACAGGAGCCGCACATTCGGATCATTTTATTTTTTATTACTTCTCATAAAATGGACTACATTCGAGTTTATATGCTGGGGGCCACGGTATTCCCAGGGGGCCACAGCATGAAATTAGCAGACTAACTAGTCGGACAAGTAGGCAACAGGAAGGAAACAATGTTCAAAGGGGCCATGGCTGGAAAAAGATCGACAAACACTGGTCTATATATTAAAATTACTTTTGACAGTCATAAAGTCTATTACTTTAAAGTTATAAAAAATTTTTTTAAATTAAATCACCGTGACATAAAAAGTGGTTCATGATTAGATTTCAGTCATACAGTGTTCCGACAACCAATGCTCCACCAGTGTACATTTCCCCAGGTTCTCTCCCATCACCTGCCTATGGCACATTTACACAATGGAATACTATGCAGCTATTAGGAAAAATCAAGTCATGAACTATGCCTACAAATGGGTGGTCATGGAGAAATAAGTGCGTTAAGTGAAATAAGTGAAATGAGTGAAATAAGTCAGAAGGAGAGGGACAGATACAGAACAACTTTAAAGTTTTTATAGCAGTATTCAAGTTAAGTTAGCTTTTCTTAGTAACACCTCCGCCCCTCTCGGAGAGCCTGGCAAGCTACCAAGAGTATCCTGTCCGCATGGCAAAGCCTGGCAAGCTACCTGTGACATATTGGATATGCCAAAAATAGTAACAACAAGTCTCACAATGGAGACGTTACTGGTGCCCGCTTGAGCAAACAGATGAACAAAGAGAGGACAGTGCTACAGTGCAGTGCTACCTCTTTTGTTAAAGCAATTCACATAAAAGGAAAAGATAAAAACCCTGCTTTGAATCTTTAAGCATCTATATGAAGAAACAGTTCTACTAGTTATATTACATGGTGGGAGGAGATTTACTAAGGAACTTTAGTTGAGAGGAGGGGGTGGGCATTCAGGAAGGAGCAGGGGATTAACAATCGATTTTCAGTTAGCCCATGGACAGGGAGAAAAGCAGCAATCCTGCCCCAGTGATGGAGCTCCACGATTTAGGCTCTTCAAGCCTGTGTTTGCCCTTGAACATGTGTCTCATTTGCTTGTCTCTGTGTCTCTTTGCCTTTCCACTCCGGAGAAGCTCATGTCCTCTCTTGAACATGTACTTCACGTCTTTCTCTCCCCTCACATCTAAGTAGAAATAAAAAATATTCTGCTGGTCTGTCTATTAGAGGAATGGAGAAAATAACTGCACACAGGCTGAGAAAATGACTTCTTTCATTTTGGAAAGAGGCAAATGAAGTCTGGAGCAGGGGCCCACATAGAGGGGTTTCCAAGTCAACACAAAGATTTCAGATTTGATATAGTTGGGAATGGAGCAGTGAGGACATCTTACAAAACTGGGTGGATTTAGAGGAGAGAAGAAATGAGTTGGGTAAAAGATAATAGGGGGGTGGGAGGGATACTGGGATCCGTGGTGGTGGGAAATGGGCACCGGTGGAGGGATGGGTATTTGATCATTATATAATTGAAACCCAGGCACAAAAATGTGTAAGTCTGCAACTGTACCTCATGCTGTCTCACTAATAAAAATTAAAAAAAAAAATAAACAAAGGATAGGAAAAAAAACATACTGGCTAGAGGAACTCAAAAGCCAAATAATATAGGCATAATTTTCCCACAATGCTTTAAGCAGTATCTCATAAGACAAATGGCATATCTTGGGGCAAGACAGATAGCACAGTGGGTAAGGTAAGGTGCTTGTCTTGCACACAGCTGCCCCGGGTCCGATCCCCAGCATCCTCTATGGTCAGGCAGAAGAACTTCCTGAGGGCAGCATCAGGAATAAACCCTGAACACCGCCAGGTGTGGCCCAAATCCCCTAACCCAACCCCCTGCAAAAATCTTCCTATAATTTTCCTGGTCTTCGCACAGTCCTTTTACATTCACCCAAAATAAATACTCATTTATCTCTCTCTCTCTCTCTCTCTCTCTCTCTCTCTCTCTCTCTCTCTCTCATGTAGACAGGTCAATTAAGAAAAAGGATAATAGAGTACAATGAATTAATTTTAACCAGAAAACTTTTGGCACTAAATCATCTGTAATTTACCTAAAGTTAATATGGTGTCATTATCACTGAATTTCATCTAGAAAAATTCTAATAAATACCTCTACTCTACTGACCATTAGATTCAATGAAAAATACATGAAACAATAATAACTGCGGGCAATTTACTCTATACATGCTAAACATAACTCTGTCACTTAACTCAGCACGTTATCAAAGTGTTATTACATTTAGCTTGAGTACATAAGTAAAATAAATATATACTGATTTTACCTTTGTTTTAGTCGTCTTTTGGCTGTTGTGGGAACATTAGCACCGTAGCCATAGGAAAAGAGAATCCTTTCTGCTTCATCTTCATTTTCAACTGGAAAATATTAAGTATAATGATGTCAAATAACACTTTTTTTAAAGAGCATGGTATAAATTGAAAAAAAAATGGTCATAATAATGAATTGGTGGCCATAAGAATATTAAGAAGATCTAATGTATAATCTCAAACAGCCATGTGTAACCAGATGCGAGTTTTTTTAAAAAGTATATGCATGCTTGGCTGGAGCAATAGCACAGCGGTAGGGCGTTTGCCTTGCGTGCAGCCAGCCCGGCCGAGCCAGGTTCGATTCCTCCGCCCCTCTTGGAGAGCCTGGCAAGCTACCGGGAGTATTCAATATGCCAAACACAGTAACAAGTGTCACAATGGAGACGTTACTGGGCCCGCTCGAGCAAATGGATGAACAATGTGAGGACAGTGACAGTGATAGTGATGCATGCTTAGATTGTTTCCATTAACTGTTTTAAAGGTGTAAGGGACTGCATCATATAATATGTTAAATTTTCTTGTAAAGAATATAATATAGGAGCTGCTATTCTGAATGATTAAAAAGATTATTTTATGAAATGGAAATTATACAATTATGAAAAAGTAATGATAGCATCAATTTCACTGCTTCTATTCTTGATATAAGAAATAACTTTTTAATTATGAAAGATACTCATTATTTTTTTATCAGGAGAACAACTTTGTCTTGTAATAATGAAATTATGCAGTTAAGTGGGCTACTCTGTGAAAAAAATGTCCAATCTCAGGAATGAACTCTGGGGCTGAGAATGTGGCTTACAAGTAGAATACACAGTTAGAAAGCCCCAAGATGATTTACTTTTTAAATTCTGCTTTTGAATAGCATTCTCCAAAAATTATTTAGCTAAAAGATTAACAATTTGTGGGTAAAAAAGTTTTTAACAAGCTAATTGATTGAAGCTGCTAGTAAAACAAATTCAAACAAAGGTCACACAGTGGTGGAGGAAAGGTCACTTTGGTCACAGGACTGGTGTTCACACATGGAAAGCCTCTATCAACAGTATTATAACAACTTTGCAAGCCATGGTATTTAAAAAAATATATTTTTCTAAATTTTGTATTGAATCACTGTGAGATAGACCCTTACAAAGCTGTTAATGATTGAATTTCAGTCATACAATATTCCAACACCTATCCCTCCACCAGGGTACATTTCCCAGGACCAGCGTCTCAGATTCCTCCCGTTACCCACCACCCCCAAACCCCTCACTCAGGCACTCCCTCCTCTCTCTCTCTCTCTCTCTCTCTCTCTCTCTCTCTCTCTCTCCTCCCTCCCTCCCACCTCTTCTTTTGGGCATTGTGGTTTGCAATATTGATATTGAATGGTTATCAAAAATATCCCTTTACCTACTTTTAACCCTCAGATCTTGTCCAGCGTGATCCTTCCCAGCTGTTATTCTCATACTGGTCTCTTCTCTGTTTTACTTACCCTCAGTTCCCCACACACTTGTGATTAGTTCCAACTACTGAACAGTCCTCCTAAGCCCTGTTTACCCTGGCCATGGATATTAGTCTTCTATTATACATATATATGTGTGTGTGGAGATGTACTATGTACCACAAATGACTGCAGTCGTTCTATATTTGTCTCTCTCCTTCTGACTCATTTCACTCGGCATAATACTCTCCATGTCCATCCATTTATAGGCAAATTTCATGGCTTCATTTTTCCTAACAGCTGCATAGTATTCCATTTTGTAGGTGTGCCATAGTTTCTTTATCCATTCATCTGTTATCAGGCACTCAGGTTGTTTCCAGATTCTGGCTATGGTAAACAGTGCTGCAATTAACATAGGAGTACAGATGGTGTTTCTGCTGTGTGCTTTTGGGACCCCAGAAGTGGTATTGCTGGGTCAAATGGGAGCTCAATTACTAGTTTTTCTAGGGCTCAGACCTCTACCTAATACCATGCACAAAAGTCAGATCAAAATGGATTAAAGACCTCAACATCAGACCAGAACCCATAAGGTACATTGAAGAAAAGGTCGACAAAACCCTCCATGATATTGAAACTAAAGGTATCTTCAAAGATGAAATACCACTGACCAAGTAAGTGGAAGCAAAGATAAACAAATGGAACTATCTTAAACTAAGAAGCTTCTGCACCTCAAAAGAAACAGTGATCAGGATACAAAGACAGCTACAAAATGGGAAAGGATATTCACTCAATACCCTTCTGATAAGAGGTTAATATCAAAAGTATACAAGGCACTGGTTGAATTCGACAACAAGAAAACATTCAATCGCATCAGAAAATGGGGTGATGAAATGAACAGAAGCTTTCTTAAAGAAGAAATCCGAATGGTCAAAAGGTATATGAAAAAAATGCTCTTCATCACTAATCATCAGGGAGATGCAGATCAAAACAACAATGAGATATCATCTCACACCACAGAGACTGGCACACATCCAAAAGAACAAAAGCAACCCGTGTTGGCATGGATGTGGGGAGAAAGGAACTCACCGTCATTGTCAGTGGGAATGCTAACTGGTTCAGCCTTTTTGGAAAACAATATGGACATTTCTCAAAAAACTAACCATGGTATTTAAATAAAACATTTTAATTAAAAAGCGAAATCATAAATAAATAAAGGATTTTATTAGTGAAATAATACCTTAAAAATAAACAAAGATTGTTATAGTTCTAAAGAGAGTAGGGACAGAAGGGTATTCCTTAAAAAGGTCAAGAACAAAAGCATTGAAATTTTCCTCTGGCTATTATGCGACTAAATGGTTGTATTAGTTTGGTTTTCATTGCATTACTTTTTCCCCCCTTCTCATTTAGTGAAACCATTTTCATCAGTGCATTTATTAAGAATTTTAACAGGTTTGCAGACTTGTTAAAAAAAGTCACCTTATACATACATATTTTATGCAAATATTAAAATAAAGAAATGATTAAGATTTTAAAAAATAAACAAAGGTCATAAAAACTAAAGGATTAATAACCCAAAGTAGCCAATGACACATAACTTCTTGGTGGCATGGCGGGGGCACACCTGGCAATGCCCAGGGGTACTCCTGGCTCTGCACTCAGGAGCCATCCCGGTGATGCTCAGGGGACCTTATGGGATACAAGGGATAGAACCCAGGTCGCCTTACCTGATGTTTATCGCTCTAATTTTTGACATATAACAATTCTAACTTTTATTTTTTAGATAATATTGTCTGTTAAGATAGTCAAAGTTCTCTGTTTTTTTCTACTTAGTTGTTTATTTTTGGATACCAGGAATTGAATCCAATGTAAGGCATATGTTCTAAGACTGAACTTACAGAGTTTTATAACAGGTGCGATAGCACAGCGGTAGGGTGTTTCCCTTGCACGCAGCCAACATGGCCGACCCGAGTTCGATTCCTCCGCCCCTCTCAGAGAGCCCGGCAAGCTACTGAGAGTATCTCGCCCGCACGGCAGAGCCTGGCAAGCTCCCCGTGACATATTCGATATGCCAGACACAGTAACAACAAAGTCTCCAATGGAGACGTTACTGGGCCCGCTCGAGCAAATCGATGATCAACGGGAGGGCCTTTACTTACTTACTTACTATTAACATTAAAAAGAAAAACCTACTTTCAGAGGTGCTTCAGATCTAAAGCAGTCACATGTTTTACATTAGTAAGTGAAGTCTAACTATCTGTAGGCTTATCACTGTAACATGCACATTTCTTGATGGATCCTTCTGTAGTAGAGTAAAACTTTAGCAAAAATATGTAACGCTGCCCCAAAACCCATCCCGTCTCACCACTCCCCCACACAGTTTCCGTCCCATGCCCTCCTCTGTTGCCCCTACACTTCCCCCTTTCCCTCCCTCCTTCCCTTCCCCCATCCCTTCCCTATGCTTTTGGGCTGTACCCAGTGATACTTGGGTTACTTCTGGTACGCAGGAATTTCTCTTGGCAGTGCTTGGGGGACCACATAAGATACTTGGGATTGAACTGGGGTTGACTGTAAGCAAGGCAAGAGCCCTGCCCACTATACTATCTCTCCGGCCCCTAAGCATTATCCCCATTTTTGAAGGAAACCTGGGTCTGTTTTATAGCTGGAGCTAATGTGAGAGATATGTGGAAGGATATACCTCTGGATATACTCAGAGGAGATATTCAGCTGGATCACAACCAAAGCCAATATTTAGACAACTATCTGGCTTTGTATCTCCAAAAAATTCTCAACTCATGACTAAAGAGATAGCTCACAGGGCTGTGTGCATGGTTGGACCAGCATCAAGTGATGCTCTAACCACCAGCAGTAGTAGTTCCTAAGCACTGTTAGGTTTGGGTCAACAATCCCTCTGCTCATGGCCCCCCCAGAGTTATAACTCAAAAAGGAGAGGGGCTTATTTAACACCTTAAGAACTCAACAGCTGTCTCATGTACTACATATGGTCTGAGAAGCACCACCAGGCGTGTCTCCTGAGCATAGAGCCAGGAGTGGACCTTGAGCATCGCTGGCATGGGGCAAAGATAAAACTAAAACAAAACCCAAAGGTCATCCTTTAGATACTGATGGACATCTTAAGTTAGAGTTTAATACTTAATGAATGAATAATGTGGTCACGATTCTAATGGTGATCCATTTATAGAAACGATGTGCTATAAAACCTTGCAAATGGTACTAAAAGAAACACAATTGTGTTTTTGAAGTACAGAGCACAGGATAACTGTAACTGGATGCCACTATTTTTCCCATGCTAAGGCATTAGGAAGGTGTGGAGAGATTGACAAAGTTACAGAACTGTGACATTATAGCAACTGTGAAGAAAGTGGTTAGATTTTGTCTGAAGAATAACAGCAGATAAGTAGGCTTAATTCCAAATGCAAATGGGACAAAAATTTTCCTTATCAGGGTAAAGAATTTGGATTTTATCCTACAGTCAACAAAAAACCCAAGAGATTAATACAGGCCAGTGAATAGATTTTTGTTCTCAGTGATACACAGAAGAAAACATCCCAATAATGGGTAAAAATGATCTAATTTGACAGCAATGGAGAATATCTCAAAAGTTATAGTAAAA